TGCAGACAGACTTCAGAGACGCTGGGGAACCATCTACTGCACCCCTCGTGCTCCAGAAGGGACCATCTCAAAGTAGAGATCATCCCTTGCTCCCACACATTGGAAGAGAAAAAAGCCAGACACCTACCTGGAGATCATGCAGGACACTCAAAACAATGACAGCCACCCAACACAAAAACAAGGTGTGTAACTGACTTCAACGACCTCCCACCCAACCTCCGGGAGAAACCACAGCACTGGGACCCACCCCATGGCCACCACACAACACCCCAGTGTCGTCAACCTAGCAAGACAGCCCCTGCCTGGAACTATCTGCATTCTTCAAGGAGCTGAACCAACCTGATACCATCCTAACCTGCAGAAAACCAGAAGAATTCTTCCGCCAACTCCACCCCCAAGCATTCTTTCACCTCCCTGCCCGCAGTCATCAGCTGACTGGACACCCTCAGCGGGCAAAACCACACACTGGATCGTTACCTCGATTGCGTCAATGGAAAAAAACCCTCCACTGTGAAATCCGTAACCAACATCACAGCCCCGACTAGGGCCTGGGCTACGTTACAAAGTTAGATCGACATCAGCTGCCTTGTCTGGATCTGGTTACCAGTGTCAACCCTCAAAGTTCGCCAGCAGCTGCCCACAATGCCTGACACTGACCTGCTCTGATCACAGTTGGGAACTCCACTGCTCAGGGGTCACAGAGACCGGAAGCGCCCCCTCCCTTCCCCTGCCCTTCCCCCTTTACAACCCCACACATTTTTGAAGCCTTTTCCTGATTGCCCAGCGTGGTGTGCTCACCTAGCAGCTCTGCCCAGCTGGCCGGGCCGGCTCCACGCTCCTGTCACACTCTGGCACGGAGCAGACAGGAGATACGGGATCTCCTGGGCCTCGGGGGAGAAGAGGCCATGCAAGCCCAGCTACAGACCAGAAGTCGAAACGTGGACACCTAGGAGCAGATTGCATGGGGGATGCTGGAGAACGGGTATCGCAGGAACCAGTGACAGAGCCACGTGAAAGCCTAGGAACTGCGGCAGGCAGATCAGAAGGCCAGGGAGGCCAATCCTTGATCCACAGACCTGCTGCTTTTACAAAGAGCTGCGTGCCACACTTTGGTGGAGACCCCGTCCCATCCCGCATGGCGCCGGGGATACCTCCAAGGAGCATGAGTCACAGACCCCTGGCATGAACAGCGAGGTCGAAGGCAGGTGACATGAGCCCAGGGGATCCAGCTATGCCACGAGCCAGGACCTCTGAGACTCCACCACAATCCAGTCAGTCCTGGCAGTCGAGCAGGGGCGAGCCCGATAAGGGGAAGGAACCTTGGGTAAGTGTGTCAATGTATTTCCCATCACATTAATTTAGTTGCACTAGAAGAAGCAGTGGTACAAGAAAAAGAGGTAGAGATATCCGCTTTTCGTTCCCCTGCACAGTTAAGGCAGGGGGGATGTGGAGCAGTTTGTTTATCTACACAGAGATGTCCTTTGAATCCTCCTGAGAGATCTCGATAAAACTTTCAGGGAGGTTCTCTGCAATCCTCTCCCAACAGTTTCTAGAGATGGCAGCTTTATTCCTTCCTCCACGGTAGGACACTTTCCCATGCCAACTGGTGATCACTTCAGCAGGCACCATTGCAGTAAACAAGTTAATGGCATACGGCCCTGGGCAGCTTCAGGTCACCACCAGCAGCGGTGGTCTCTGTGCCTTCGTTCCCCTTGAGTGAGATATCAGCTAAAATCACCATCGCCGGGAAAACAGGGCTGGTATCCAGGGCCATTGCCCGACACTCTTCACGTCTTGCAAACGAGCAATTCCCTCTTCGTTCCCCTCACCTCTGGTGGACCATACTCACCATGGCCAGTACCGCAAGTGGTGCCGTGCACAAGCCCTCCGAAGCAGAAACATCAATAAGCAGGTCTTGTTTAAATCTTTAGGGGAGCAAGGGAAAGCAGGTCTAAACCCTAACTTTCCATTTCCCTTGTGACTATAGTGACAATGGTACCTCTGGGTGTTTTATCTATACCTGCTTGTGTTGCAGCCTTGAGTGGTTCCCTCTCCACACCCATGGAACACCTGAGCAAGATGAGGAGGAGAAAAAAAAGAGGACTTGAGATGACACGTTAAGTGAGATCCTACAAGCCGGTGCTGCATCAGACCATGAGCAAAGGGGAAGGAGGGTGAATATTGCAGACAGCCTGGGGAAGGAATGAGTGGACAGAAGAAAGGCCCAGGAGTCCCAGCAAGACAAGCAGAGGGAAATGCACCAGGACACAATGGGGCTTCTCCACCAGCAAACGCAGATGCTGCAGACTCTTGGGACCTCCAGACTGAACAATCCTGGGCTCGTCCCTACGCCACCCCCCACCCCCATAGCATTCCATATGGCCTCAGGGCCCGCACGCCTACCCCTACCATCCCACACCAGGAGAAAGCATCGACAGCCACAGCTTCACATACACTGACCTGTGACAGCCACGGTTGCTGTATGTGTAGGTTAAATGGACATGAATGTTCTTTCCCCTTGTTAACTTCCATTTCACTACTTTATTACTTTTCTATGTATTTTGTATGTAAATTACACAGATTTTTTTTGCGTTGGTTTTGTTACCCAAAATTCTATTGTTTGGAAAATAATTCATCTTTATTTGTTCCCAACGTATGCTGCAAAGAGCAAAGAAAGCACCCACTTCAGTACTTGTTACCGTGCAGTGTGACAATTCATCGTCTTAGTGACAGTAATAATCATAAATGTACAGCAAGTACAACAAAATTATTCAGTGCATTGACAGTGCTATATTCACACATGTACACCAAGCACCACACAATTCTTAACAGGCCCCAAAACAGCAGCACCAGGTACAGCAGAGTACATCACAATGCATTACTGTGGCTCACTGTTAAAGTGCTCTTGCAAAGCCTCCCTGATCTGTATCACTCAGTGTTGAGCTCTTCTAACAGCCCTTGTGTCTGGCTGTTCAAACTCAGCCCACAGCCACTCCACCTCTGCCCTACCCCCCAGTGGCAAGTTTCCCCCCTTTGCTTCGCAGAGATTATGCAGGTCACAGCAAGCAGCTAAAACCATTGGGGGGGGTTTTCACGGAGATCCAATTTTGTGAGTATACAACGCCAACATCCCTTCAATCTACCAAAAGCACATTCAGCAGTCATTCTGCACCTGCTGAGCTGGTAGCTGAATCTTTCCTCGATGCTGTTGAGGTAGCCAGTATGCGGTTCCATGAGCCAGGGGAGAAAGGGGTTGTCTGGGTCCCTCAGGACCATTATTGGCATTTCAACATTGCCAGTGGTATTCCGCTAGTTGGGAAAGAAGGCCCCTGCTTGTAGCATTCTGAACAGTCCTGCGTTCTTAAAGATGCGAGAGTCAGGCACCTTCCCTGACCAGCCAATGTTCATGTCAGTGAAGCATCCCTGGTGACCACCCAGCACTTGCACAACCAGGGAAAAGTAGCCCTTTCTGTCGATGTACTCTGTGCAAGGTGGGCTGGCACTAAAATAGACGTGTGAATGCCATCTAATGCTCCACACCAGTTCAGGAATCCCATTGCAGCAAATCCATCCACTATGTCCGACATATTGCTGAGACTCTCAGGCTGGCATAGCAGGAGGTGATTAATGGCCCCATGTGCTTGCATGACAATGGCCCCCACAGTGGATTTGCCAACTCCCCAAATGATTCCCACTGACCAGTGGCAATCCAACGTTGCAAGTTTCCACAGCCCCTGGCTTCTCCACTGTCAGTACAGCTCTCATTCCGGTGTCCCTGGGCTGGAAGACTGAAGCGAACTTGGGACACAGATCCAGGAACATGGCCTCCCACATCCAAAAGTTCTGCAGCCACCATTTGTCATTCCAAGCCTACATTACAATGCAATCCCAGTCAGTGCTCGTTTCTCAGGCCCAGAAGCGACGGTCCACCGTGTGCCGCTGATCTGTGAATGCCATCAACAACCTTGAATTGGTTCTCGGTCTGTCCCCCAGCAATCTGTCCTCCAAGCAATCATCGTGTTCCTCGCTGATTTGGTTCTTCTTGCGGCTCTGCAAATACCAAAAGATCGTGCGTCTTGTGCTTGCAATGCCCATGACAATAATGCAGAACTGTGCAGGTTCCAGCTTCTGTCAGAGATGGCGGATAGCGAGGCGGGCCGCGTGAGTTCATGGGATTTTTTTTAAAAGGTGCAAAAATTATGGGATGTAGAAAATTGCATGCTGGGAAGTTGTCACCTTGCTCCCAGTCACCCCTGTGCAACTGCTTTCTGCCCCATCATGCATTGCCAAAACTTCCCAAGAGACAGTGCGCTGGAGGATGGCACGTTGCATACTGGGCTACCTACCCGTGGTGCACCCCCAGCACCGATGCAAGGAGCCAAGGATGCATAGGCACAAGTGATAGACTAACTGCGGCAGCTCCATGCTGACGTAACTTGCGTTGGTAAAAGCGTGTAGTGTAGACACGGCGTTTCGCTCTGCTGCCAGGAGGACAGCTATCTTGTCCTGAAATCCAACCACCAGCTAGTGATCAAACCAGCGGGCAAAGGGGGCGCTCTCGCAGTCCTTAATTACGATGACCACAGCATCAGTGCTGCGAACATCTGCAATGGTGCTTATATATTTGGTAGCTGAATATCGTGCACCGGTATGGAGCAGATGCGGCCACACACGACGTGTGGACACCCAGCTGAATACAGGGATGCGGCACATCCCGGGAACCCTTCTGTCAACTCCAACACCATGGCGACCTGTTCTGTGAAACTGCTCCCCCGCCGGCAGGCCAAACTGCTGCGATGCTCCACGAAGCTCAGCGAATCCAGGAAAACAGATGTTTCCTATCCACCCAGACCTCAACAAACCTCACCACCCCCCCCCGCCAGCATCTTAAGTCCCGCAAGCCTTTCTGGGAACATTCGTTTCGCCTCATGCAATCAGGTGACGATCAGAAGGAGGCTTGCAAAGCAGATTGGGCTAAACAAGACTTTAAAAATAAGCACCTTGTGCCGGATCCCACGCAGGAGGTTCCTGGGTTTGACCTTCCACAGTCATCTTGGTCAACTCTGAATCAAATCCGAACCAACCACGGTAGATGCAGGCATCTAATGCACAAACGGAAAATCAAGAACTCCCCAGCGTGCAAGTGTGGTTCCCCACAACAGACCAACCAACATCTCACCACCTGCAGCCCAATTTATGAATATGAAGGAGGCATCACTGCAATAAATTCTGCCACTCCTGCTGTAGCCACCTGGCTCGATCAGCTTCAGGTGAAATTGTAATTGCTGCTCTACCCCAGCCATATGGAAGAAGAAGAAGAAGTTGACAATGTCAACGAGGCCAACAGACAACTCTCTGACACCACCCACTGTGAAGAACTCAAAGACCCCACACCACAGTTCACCCAGGAGTTTAACAATACCATCACACCTTCCCCAAACAACTCCAAGAAACACTTTACAAGCCCATCCCCCACAAGCCCACATCAGGGATCTTCTACGTGCTTCCCAAGATACACAAACAACATCCGATGAGTTGAGCTGTAGCTCACAAAAGCTTATGCTCAAATAAATTGGTTAGTCTCTAAGTACGTCCCAAGTACGCCTTTTCTTTTTGCGAATACAGACTAACACGGCTGCTACTCTGAAAGGTAACCCAGCAGACCCATTGTATCTGGTTGCAGCACTAGGACTGAAGATGTATCGGGACTCACAAAAACCAGCCTCAAACCACTCACTGCACAATAGGGCCAGCTTCCTCCAGGATAGCTGACTTCCTCCAGAAACTCTGCACCATTAACAACTGCCCTCAGAACCACATCCTTGCCACCCTGGGTGTCACCTCTCTATACACCAACATCCCTCACCATGACGGCATTGCTGCCTGCCTCAAGTATCTAAAAGATAATGCACAACGCTCAGAAATCCACCCGGAACACATTGCCAAACCCATCCATTTCATCCTCAGCCACAGTAGCTTCACATTCAACAACAAACACGTTGTCCGAACCATGGGAACAGCCACGGGTACAAGGAGAGCTCCGCAATGTGCTGACCTCTCCATGGGCCACCTTGAGGAAGAATTTCTGGACAGATGCACCACAAAACCAATGATACACCTGAGAAACATCAATGATATTTTCATCCTCTGGACAGACCTGAACTCCCTCCTAGATTTCCACCACCACTTCAACCACCACCATCCATTCAACTCTCTAGAATACTCCCACGCCAGCATCAACTTCCATCACAATCTGCTTCAGCAATGGAACCCGACAGACAACTATATACAAGAAGCCCACAGATCGGCACACCTCCCTTCACAGATCCAGTCACCACCCAAAATGCACCGAGACATTGGTTATCTACAGCCAGGCGCTCAGACACCACAGAACATGCTCCGAGGAGAAAGTCCTGGATACACACCTTAACACATGGAAACCGCCTTCACCAAACAAGGACACTCTACCGGAGAAGTAGATTGTGTCATGGAATGGGCCACCCAAATACCCCAGGAAAACCTTTAATACATAAAATACCCCAAAACCCACTGACCCCACACCTCTAATTGTCACCTACCACCCCACACTGGAACCCAGACAGGTATTATTAAACATTTACAACCCATATTTGATGGGGGCCCCATTCTGAAAGAAATCTTTCCTGAACCCCCTCTTCTGGCCTTCAAACAGTCCCCCAGTCTCATCATTAGAAGCAAGCTCCCCACAGACCAAGATCCAGCAACTCAAAGCAGCACCAACCCCTGCCAGAACAACATATGCAAAACCTGTAGACATATCACCAATGCTATAATGATCTACCTCCCCGCCAGCACCACAACACACTTTTCAAGATCCATGGGGCCCACACACCTATCACAACATGTGGTTTATCTCATCCAGTGCATCAAATACCCCAATACCAAGTATGTGGGTGAAACCAATGACAATACCCTCGAATGAGCTCACACAGGAAAATGATCAAACACAAAACCACCCTATCACCGCTGAGCAAACACTTTTCACAAAGGGATCACTCCCTAGCTGACCTCTCGCTCCTCGTCCTCAAAGGAAACCTGCAGACCACCTTCCAAAGATAAGCCTGGGAGCTTAAATTCCTAACTCTGCTAGACCCCCAACGCCATGCACTTGACAAACTCGTTGCAGGATCGGGGCCTTACAAATCAGAAAGCCCCTTTTCAGAGTGCACAGCGGGCATCTGCCCTTTGAGACATCACCACCAGGTGGCTCAGGGCCCGAGCCGGGAACAGCCTCAGACAAGGGCTCCTGCTAGATCAATCAGCAGGGGCAGGGGTCCATTTCTCTTTGAAGTGCCAACAGCAAAATCCTCCAAAAGATGTGAGTCCCACAGCGAGGATCCCTGCCCCCTGCCCCACATCTGTTGCTGGTGCCCCCGTGAACTCAGCTTGGCAGCAGAAGAAACCAAACCAAACAATAGCGGCGCCCTGACATACGCACAGCCGCTGACGGCCTGCACTCCCTCGTGGGTGGGAGTGCTCCAGGGCTCCCATGCCGGCCGGCCTCCTCCCCGGGGCTCTCACTAGCCACCAAAGCAATTCGCTGCACAAAGCCGGGGTAACGCCAGGGCAGAGCCAGGAAAGCAAAGGGGGCGTGATGGGCACGGCTCAGTCACACCCGCTCGAGCATGCTGCACATGGAGACGCTTCCATGCGCTGGCTGGGGGGAAGCCCTTGCCCTTTGTGTCTGGACCACGTGCCAAGCTTGACGCAGGCGAGGAGCTCCCTATTGGCGCCGAAGGGGGCGAGCTGTCTTTGGGTCAGGGGCAACATCTTTTATTGGACTAACAGCTGGTGGCAGAGGGGACATGCTTTCGGGCTCCACAGAGCCCGTCTTCAGGTCTGGGGAAGGTCACCCCAGAGCTCAGAGCTCCCCCACCCCAGCAGATCTCCCGGGACCGAGGAAACTGACTAGCTGGGAAACTGACCAGAGATGAGGGTTGAACTCTTTAAAGCCCAGGAGAGGGATCTAGACCCAGCCCCACTGAAATCAGCGCAACTGGGGTCTCTCGTCTACCTTCCACATGGATTTAAAGTCAAACCCGGGCAGCTCTGGGGACAAGACCAAACTCTCCTCCTCGGCTTCGAAAATGGCTGAGGGAAGCACAAGAGGCAAAGAGAAAAGTTGTTCTTTCTCCAGTCGCTCTATTTATCCCGTCGAGTCATCACAGCCAAGAGGCGCCTGCCGCGGCATTGCCTGCCCCTGCGCTGCAAAACCATCAGCAGAGCCAAGAGCAGCTCCCAGTGCGGGAGAATCCGAGAAACCAGGCCGCCCCACACCCTCCAAATTCCCCATTCCAACCCCAACCACTCGCTGCTCCCTCCGCAGAGGTGCCTTGCTGCGCGCGGGGCAGATCAGCAGATTTGGACTATTTCAGGCCGGAAGGAGCTGGCTGGGGTGTCTGAGCAATGCCGCCCCCTCCTGGACGGAATCGGAACTGATCCAATGTGTCATAGGCCCTGTACTGCTGACACCTCAGGGGGATTCTCCTTTAGCTCGAATGGATCAGTAGGATGCCAGCCTATCCCTGGCCATGATTCCCAGCACAGGGAGATTATAATGTTATTCCTGTCACCTTTCCTCTGCCTGCCAGAGCCCTACAGCCAGCATGGCAAGGGACCCTCCTGGGACTCAGCAGCTTTCCAGAGCCCAGACCCTGGACAACAGTCCCAGACCAATGGCCTGGCCAGAGCGGCCCCCTTCAGCCGGTAGGTAGCTGTGGCCTGCAGGAGCCCGGGGCTGGGCTAGCAGGGGCTGCGGGTCGGGAGTGAGGAGCGCTAGCTCTCTCTTGCTCTCTCGGCTCTGATCAGGTGTGCGTGCAGCCTGGCTGCGTGGACCCCAGCTCCCCCGCCCCTGCCCCAGTGGCACTCAGGGGGGCAGTGACTTGTGCCTCCTACCCCCACGCCCACTGGAGATTCCCCATGGCCCGGCTGCCCCAGCACGCAGCAGAGGGGAGAGGGGAGCGGAGCTGGGTGGGAATCGGCCCTGACAGCACGGCCAGCTCCCACCCGGCCAGCCCCACACACAGGCAGAGCTGGGGACCCTGCTCACCCCCCTGCCACAGCCCCTTCCCTGAGAGCCGCCAGGCCTGGGCCAGGGAGCCCCAGGTGCAAGAGGGGAGTGGGGGGTGTTAATGGGGTGGGACGGCCCATGGGGGAACGAGGGAGTGGGGGCAGTGACGGGGGGGCAGGGTCAATGGGGGATGGATGCTCCAGTGCAAGAGTGAAGGGGGAGGGCGTAGGCTGGTGCTGGGGGGGTTTATTAACACACAGAGGTATGTTGTGTGGGGGGTTTTATTAACACACACAGGTATTATTAACCTGGGGGGGGTTGTAAATGTTTAATAATACCTGTCTGGTATTATTATAATACCTGCCCCCCAGCCCCCCCGCCCACACACACACACTCGGCTGCCTGCTCGCACGCTGCCCGGCGGCTGCGGAAGTGCCTGGAGCCAGGGATGCAGCTGGCATGGGGACGGGCCTGGCACCACAGAGCCCAGCACCTCACTGCCACCTCCAATCAATCCGCCCACGCGCAGGGAGAGCCACATGGGGCATGCAGGGCCCCCAGCCCCCCGCCCCCGCCAGCACCCTCAGTGCCTCCCGCCAGGCCCCCCGCCCCTGCCAGCACCCTCAGGGCCCCCCGCCAGGCCCCCTACCCCTGCCAGCACCCTCAGGGCCCTCCCGCCAGGCCCCCCACCCCTGCCAGTACCCTCAGGGCCCTCCCGCCAGGTTCCCCGCCCCTGCCAGCACCCTCAGGGCCCTCCCGCCAGGTTCCCCACCCCTGCCAGCACCCTCAGGGCCCCCCCCAGCCAGGTCCCCCAGCACCCCTAGTGCCCCCCCGCCAGGGACCCCCCACCCCCATCAGCACCCCCAGTGCCCCCCACCAGGGCCCGCAGGCCCCACCACCACCGCCAGTGCCCTCCTGTCCGGGCCCCCAGCCCCTGCCACCCTGCCAGCACTCCCCCCCCCGCCAGAGCCCCCAGCCTCCGCCACCCAGCCAACACCCCCACTGCCCCCTCCGCCAGGGTCCGCAACCCCTGCCACCCTGGCAGGAACCCCA